GCGCGTTGTCAAGGCAAATTTCGTTCAATAGGCCGTTTATCTCCGCGGGAAGTTCTTTCATTACGGTAGGCCCCGCCATGTTTTAATATTGTGATAAGGCTCGTGTCTTCCAGAGCACATTAAATAGCGACGGGAGTAAGTTTTAATTAGTACCTGCTAATTAAAACTTAGTTAACTACGAAGAGACACGCTTACTTTATGCGGGATGTACGTTAACACGTTACCTTGTGTAAAGTGTGCTGAAATGTAAATTTTATGGTAATATTAACGCTACTTGAGGATAATACGACACATAACGTCACATATTTAATATCTTTTTCTCCATCAGCTTAGTTGTGCTGTAATAATAACTTCAGAAGTTTATAAGTAAATATTTAAGGTTTATGATATTTTTTTAATATTTAACGCCATTGACATATTCTTAGTAATAAAATGTTGTTATAACATGCCTTAATCCGCGAATTAGACGAAATGAACACGAACTAAAGTACTGTTACTAACTGTTTTCAGGTTCAAGCCTCATTATATGAAAAGATGAATCGCAGTGTTAAAATGTATCGGCAGTAGTTTTTTTTTTTTGTATTTAGTCAAAGAAGAATTGATCAGGTTGTGTTTCTATCTTCAAATCAAGCAAAGATTAAATCAAACTGATATTCGAACCTATCACTTCTGTTCGCAAGTCAACTCATCCGCTACAAAAGCACCGCCAAATTAATATTTATTAAATAGTCAGTCCCAGTGCTAAACGACCGTAAAAATGCTGCATTGTTATTTCCATGCGCGTACATTTTAACCTCTTTGCAATTTTATTTGCAATACAATCAACTATTCACGAAGGAATAATAAACTCATGCACAGTTCCACACAATGGTGAGGTTCTTAAATTGGATGCACGAGATAAAAATTCCACGCGGGTGCCAAACTTAAAACGAAACCTGAATAGACTGGCGAATATGTTGCAAAATGTTGGCTTGAAGAATTCGTTCCTAACTTTGATTTAAGTTTAAATTTTAACTTTGCGCTCTGTGTTACCCCCGTTTTATTTTTATGCTACACTTTATTGCTTTTAAAAATCCCTCTAGACTTAGAGACCGAGATTGGATAGCAACTTAAAAAAAAACCTGATAATACTGTTTTTGATTACGTTGATTTGAATATATAGAGCCGTGATAGCCCAGTGTCCGGGCGCTCGCCTTTAATTCAATATACTCGAGCAACCTGAGTTCGATCCCCGCTGCCGGCACCAATGAAGTTTTTACATTTAAGTGCTGCTTACTTGCTCCGCGGTGAAGGAAAACATCGTGAGGAAACCTGCATATTTTCGAAATAATATTAGGTCCGATTGGTGGACATGATACCCTCTGTATAGAGGAGGCCTTTGCCCAGCAGTGGGACTTATAGGCTGTTATGTACTGTCATTTACACATATTAGCATGATTCATCATCATTATCATCATTTCAGCCTGTTAGAGTCCACTGTTGCCGCGAAACACGATCCTGTGCCACCTGTATCCATCGACATCCCGCACATTTGAACAGGACGTCACTCTATCCAGTAGACTGTCTGACTTCTTGCCGATCGGTTATCGCTTCTACGATCCATATGGCCAAACCATTACCACTTTAGCTAAACAATCTTTTGAGCTGTAAGTCGTCTATGTCGGTTAGAGCCAAGATGCGCCTAAAAAATCTGCACTATATATAAAGTATTATTTTTTTAGCAAAAACATTAGTCATTAAACGAATTTGTCCAAAAACGTTCAAGACTAGGAAAATATAACGGACACGAATGACAAAACCTTTTAATATTAATCTTTATAGTTTCATGTAAGTACAGAAGCGTACTTTAGTTTACATCTTTTAAATTCTAAACATGACACTTGTTTAATCCAAGTAAATTGCATTGCATAAAAATGATCATCTTATACTAAAAAAAAAACATTTTCTGAATTAAATAATGTAACAATAAAATGATAATAAATGTAATATAACTGAACGTTAAATTTGTAAGACAAAATTTATATTAGTATTGTTACAATGAGATACAAAACGACGATCGCAAATTTTGTTTGTCATGTTTCCAATTCAACAAATCTTTCAAACAAAGTTTGGTTAATGATCCACAATCAAAACAACAATTATGAAATGAACGAACAAGCGAGACTAATTGTGTTCTAACCATATTTTCAGCTTGCAATAATGTTTATCAGCTATTTAATGTCGTTATGAACATAATAATTTTTCGATATATTGAAAATAAAACTAAAAATATGTTAATATGTCCTAAAATTAATTTAGAAACATGGATTAAAATAATAACTTCATACTATACTTTACTATAACTGGTGTTTTTGATTTCAGTCCGAAGACTATTAAAGATTTATTGAACGCAGAACTCGTGGACTAACCAGAACCCACGATCTTTATACGGCCCTCGTCGTTTGGGTAAGACCGCGTATGTACCTACTCAATCGTGCGTTATTTTAAACAGGAAGAAAGTAACCAAGGTTTATCAAGGTTTGGTATTGACTGTGACCCGTGGTAGTTTTCGGCTTTTTCAATGAAACGATTGGTTAATTATTCTTGATAAATAATATACGCGTAGCGGCGGGAGTCTGCAATCTGTAATCACTTTGCAGTTGATATTACCTAGCACTAGCTACATTGTATCCACGCAACTATTTGCGAGGCGGATTTACTTATTTTGAATTACCTGAAGTTTATGCTGGTATTAGATCACGTGAGCAAAGGACATACAAGCTTAGGACAGTACGCGTCGTACGCAAGCCTTGTATGACACAAGTTTGTGCTGTAAGGGCATTTCATTGGATGTATTAGTTAAGTTATAGAGCCGGTTTGAAGCGAATGCGGTTCAGTCTCTTCTGTCTTTAATATGTGCGGCGAATGTTATTCTGAAGTCGAAAGTTACTCCTAGGTTGCCATTCATTCCCCAACGAATCGGTTGGCCATATAATGTGTTTTAATGTAGTTTCCTACTCGGGTGAGTATGGCTCATGGGGTGGTTGGAGTTGCCCACGGGGCAGGCCATAATAAAGTAGTGTATTGCTTCACTCTTCTCGGGTCGTACGTCTATTCTCCACTTGAGAAAATACGTCATCAAGGTGATTACTACGTCAGAAGCTGTTGCGTGGCCCTACTACAGTTGAATTTATCATCCTTTAAATATTTTAAAAACATGTATTATTTTTTTTTCTTTTTCACTAACCAGACTAAGTCACAGATCTATTCAGGATGTCTCTGTCAATTTACCTACCAATTTGGAATTTATTCATGTCTTAGGTTATGGCCTACGGTTTGCTCATGTCACGATAACAGTAAACTGTGTTGGCCGTTTTACAAACGATAAATTTCGCGCGGACAAAAAGCCAGATTCGAAACATCTCTCTGTGGGTCACACAAATAGTACCACGTGGGTATCGAACTCACGACCCCCGATGCCGAAGTCAATACCTTGGCAACTGTGGCACGCAGTCATCTATCTTCATAATTTTGTCGCTGTACTCACTGGACACTAGGGTGTATGTCGGATCTTATATAATTCAAGGTCACCTGTCACAGTCTAAAAAGGTAGCCTAAAGGTACTTAAATGAACCTTTATGCTCTTAAGGTGCACATAATTGACCTCCTTGTATATTGTAAACAATAAATGTTCAGGACCATACATTTTTTTTAATTCACATGAACGTTACACATTATTATAGACACCAACTACTTGAATTTTCTCGTGTTATTTCTAATAGTTGTCATTTCATTCCGTTACCATGTAATCTGCCACCTATTCCAAATAAAGTAGTAGTACCCGGAGGACCGAGCCTTGCTCGTTTTTTTTTTTTTTGGTAAATCGTGTGTTTCGGAAATTACATTTAGATACAAATTACTTTTTCGATCTTACCGACGTAATAATAAGAATATATGAACTCATGTTTTTCACAAAAGAACTTTAAAAAAAAGGGGAAAAAAACAACAAAATAACAAATCGACAAAAAATTAAAAATAAAGAAAGCAATGATCTGGAATCGAAACAAAAGTAAAAAAATAAATGTGTAAATGATCGTGACACGAACCACGGCCTTCTGTTTCGGGGCCGCCCGATTACCGACCGAGCTATTATAACATTTTTTTTGCGGCGAAATTTACCGTCGTATTCGAATGATATTTTTCATTCCCTGAAAACAGGGATAAAAGGACTTTTTCTAAGAATGAAACCTAGCTAGATCGATTTTTCACCCCCGAATCTACGCACATACTAAATTTCATGAAAATCGCCGAGATTCCGATTATATATATACAAGAATTACTCGTTTAAAGGATAAGATAAAACACGATAAATACCTAGTTAATTCTATTTTTTTATTGAAAAGGAGACAAAGGACAAGCAAGTGATCACCGCCGGAACTAACAGAGTTATAAATGCGGTCTTGCCCCCCTTTAAGATAAAAAAGGTAATTTTTTGAAAGTCCTGAAATCATATGGGCACGGAAATAGCGCTGGCGAGAAATAAGTCCACAAAGACACGACCCTATAGCAAAAAAACGCTCGGTTCATGTTTTGTTGCTATGTATGGTCGTGAGACTTTTGTTGCGATGTATGGAAAATGCAAAAAACGCATCACCGCCTTGCAACTAGCAAAACTCTTCAAAATGTCTGTATATATCTGTACCAAGAATTCCTATCATACGCATCAATGGGGATACCCTGAAAAGAGGAGATACGACAAAGAGGTTCCTTTTAATGATAGACGCGCAAACGTGTCTTCCTACAGTTCAATTCAATTAAATTTAGATCTAAACATGATTTCGTAGACATGTTTTAATCTTACTGACCATTATAAAACCAGAAGATTTTCAGTATAGCGGTGGTTTCAAAACATGATGCTGACTACTGGATCTAGATCAAAGATGTTCAATCAAAATTAAGTCAGGGAAACACAAACTTATTGGCTTATGAATGGAGTGTAATAAATTATAGTTACAATGTTAATTTTTTATTTTCTTTCTTGAAACACTTGCTATGGGTTCTGTCTCATATTCAATTTCTACTCTTGGCTTCTTTCTGCTTATCTTCTTCACGGCCATGTCCTGTAGTAAGTTTAATAATACAAATTAATTTAATTAATATATTATTCTATAAATTAGGTGCCATTCTTATGATATGCACAAATTTGACCTGGATGTGTCAAATGATATCTGGTAAGGGTTTAATGTCAATTTAAACTTTCTTTTTTCTTAAGACGTTATTTGTTTCATGTGACATTGAAATTAAAATCCTAATATATATTTAACAATTAAAACATGTAGAAAAATACGAAAAGATTGTCGCCGCTGTGGGCATCGAACCCACGTCTTCGGCGCGCGCATTTCGTACTTTTCTACATGTTTTAATGTTCAATCTTAAGTGCAGAGATTAGCACTATAAAAAACTTTAAAATTTATATATTTAATAACTTGATATTTTAGCGACAAGAAATCCAATCAATGCTGTAGCAATATGGGAATTGCTCTATAACAATATGATGCACCTAAGAGATTCCTCTTTTAAAAAAAAAAGTTAATAATAAACTAACTCTTACCTCAATATCTGAAGTCTCAGATTCAAAGTCACTTCTAACATCAACATTTTCTTTTCTTCCTGAATCACTTTCCTGGAGAAAAGCACATTTATAATCAGAAATAGTTAGATAAAAATCATAAATATAAGCAGATCATAATTATCAGATTCACAAAAAATTAAAAATATACACCTGAATTCTAAATTGTTTAAATATAACAGAAAAACTTTTTATATGATTAAACTCAACCCCTAACAGCATATGTACCAATTAAATATATAAGGGGTCCAATTTTTTTGTATGTTTGCATTTACCGCCGCCCATGGACATCCCACCTGAGAGGATGATTATGCAATCCCAACCCTTAAAAAATAGTACGTAGTTACTTCTCTCATGAGAAGAATGCGTAAGTATACAATAAGCATACCTAGACAAGATAATATATAAAATCAATAAATAAGTAAGTCACTAAGTAATTTAATTACTCACAGCATCACTGTCCATGTCACTATCTGCCTCAACAAACTCATCAGTTTCCTCCACCGTCTTTTGTAATTCTCTCTCTAGCTCAGGTTCAATTTCCATCTCCTCCTCTTCATCATCTTCCTTCTCACTTTCACTTTCACCAGAAACTTCCTCTGCTTTAAGTGCTGCATCAAAAGCCATTTGGGGGAAGTTGTAGATGTCATTGTACTGAAAAAGAAAATAAAATCTTTTAATTATTAGTAATAAATTAGAAGTAATAAATTAAAAGTTGGATTATTTTTATTTTTAGTACTTGTCTGTAACATTTTTGAATTCTGTACAAAATTAACATTTCAGAGTAAAGGCTTTGTTAAAAATGGCAATTAAAAATAATCATTAATTTTAAAATAATGCTCTTTATCAAATCAATCAAAATGGAAAAGATATTTAAAATTGAAAATATTTCAAATGGAAAAGGTATTTTGGTTAATGAAGAAATTATTGAGAATTTTTTTAAGGCTCTTTAATAAATAAATAATAATTGCAACTCACTGTTCCTTTTTTAAGTCTTTCAAGTAATTGCTTTTCTATAGCATTATCAATTCTGGCTGCAACTAGGGCCTTTTCTTCTCTTCTTCTTTCCCGCCTTTCTATCTTACGCTGTATAGGCACTAATTCTTTCCTAAAATATAATAACTTTTGTCAGTAACCTATATCAAATACTATACACTTATATATCAAATACTATATCAAATACTATACACTTTCTTAATTTTTATGCCAAATATAGAAATATTCCTTTCATTTTCACACCTAATAACAATTAAAGTATTATGGTTATGAAAAGCAGATCAAATTATTTCATTAAATACCAAATTCAACATAAACAAGTACAAGAAAATCTTTATAATGAAATTAGAGGTCTGCTGCTGCGCACACATCATGGACAAATACTGGATAGATTATTATTTCTTCTAACTTTTATTTCTTAGAAACTTAACCCTTATCTGAAAAAACTGTTGTGATATCTTCATTTAATGTAAATTTATTAGATTTAGGAACCAACGATTTTTATAAGAAGTGTATGTTAAATGCTGTGTGTTTTCTTTATTTAGAGAAACGCTGTATAGCACATAGAAAACTTTTTTAATATAATAAACAACCCAGATGAAATATATCAGCTAGTTACAAAAAAAATGAGTGAATAAAAATAAATATTAAGCTTACACTCTTCTTAACTTCAGTTTTCTCATACGAATTAGATATTGTGTTATTTTAACAAATCTCTGTTTGCATTTTGCTTTGATAAATGCCGGCCAGTATAGAAGATTTTCATTTATTTGATAAATGGCTTTTTCGAAATTTCTAGACAACTTCACCTTTTCCCATTGTTTCGCTGGAAACATAACTCTGAAATATATATAGTAAAATTAGAAAATACATTTTTAAGTTTTACGTTTTAATATTTAAAAAAAATATTACTACCTTTCTGCAGTTTTCATATATAAATAAATTATACCATTTTCCTCTCTTATAGTTGCATATTTACTATTTGCGAGTGGACATGATGCTCGACTGCATAAACCAGTGAGGTTATATTCATTGCGGCAAAAATGCTGAGTTTTTGTTCTGTAAAATAAAAGTCTTTAAAGCAGCACGTTTGGATTAAAAGAATAACAACAATTCAACAAATCGACTCAACTTACGTTACTTTATGCGAACAATGCGTCTTATTAATGATAGCCCAAACAACCTAAAACGATAAACATTTATTAAGATTATATTATCCATTTTATGGCTAATACAATAAAATTGAAGGGTTTTTCTTACATCATCATGCTGCATTTTGTTTATTCAAGTGATTTTTATTATAAAATATATTGATGAATTTATGTCGATGATAGATCTACTTCTACAACAATTCCACATTGACAATTTGACAGTCTGTCAGACAGACAGTTCAGCAGCCGTTCAGGCTCCATCACAGTGACAATATGTCAAAAGAATTAAATTATTTACGAAATAAAATGAAAAACATTATTTTTCATTTTTTTAATCTTCGAAATATAACAGTTTAATAATTAGTAACATAAGGAGTAAACGATATTACGATTTAGATTTTTTTTAGATACGGTTTATAAAAATAATAAAAAACTGATCCAAAAGCTTATGTCAGGTTGCACGATTATATTATCAGGATCTATCAGATTAAATTTTATTTTCACAAATTCACACATTTTTTTTATTGTCACAGCTGCCGTCTGTTATCTTAAATACCATTGAGCGGTGGTTGGCAGTGCAAGCTGGGCAGTTCATAGACAGGGGAGTCCTCGGTCGGTGCTTGGACGGAAAGGTCCGCTTTGCTTGTTGCGGAATACGGTTGATACTTCAAACTAACGGTTTTATCATCATTCATCATTTCAGCCGGTAGTCGTCCAGCGAAGTCCCGCGACTTCGCACAGGTCGTCAGTCGATCTCGCGTGTGGCCGTTTTCCAATACGAGGTCTCCACTCGAGAACTTTGCTGCCCGATCGGCAGGCAATTCTGTTGGCTATGTGCCCTGCCCATTGCCACTTCAGCCTGCAGACCCGCTTAACCCGCTATGTCGGTAACCTTCGTTCGTCTACGGATCTCCTCATTCCTGATTCGATCTCGCAGAGAAACCCCGAGCATAGCCCTCTCCATTGCCCGCTGAGCCACGCTGAATCTCTTTAGGAGGCCCATAGTTAGAGACCACGTCTCGGCACCGTAAGTCATCACTGACAGTAAGTATCACTGTAAGTAAGCATTGGTCAAAGACTTTTGTCTTCAGACTTTGTGGTATGCTGGACGTTAAGACGCTGGGTAGCTTGCCGAACGCTGCCCAACGGAGTTGAATCCGTTGAAGAACCTCTCTCTCGAAAATGGACCTGCCTAGCTGGACATCTTGTCCTAGATATACATATTCGTCAACAATTTCGAGGGCCGAGCTTTCTACAAACACATGGACATGAGTTTAGTCTTTTCCAGACTCATGGCTCAGAAGTGAGATGGGTCTATAATTTTTAAGTAAGGCCATAGCGCCCTTCTCGTGGTGCTTTTCACCACCGCACTTCTGCTCTATGCTAAAGGCGTTATGCCGTCGAACAAGACTGTATTAAAAAGCTTCTGTAGGTCCTTCAGTATCAGTGTTCCACCAGCTTTCAGAAGCTCTGAAGTAATTCCGACTTGTCCTGGCGCCTTGTTGCTCTTAAGCTGCTTGAGAACCATCCTTATCTCGTATAGGCTGATGGATGTCCGGGATATCTTCGGTGTAATGTCGGGCAAGCTTGGCTCTTAAGTCTTTGGCCGAATATGTATTGTGGGATATGTGCCGGTCTAATTGGAAAACATTAAATTGATGATATATGAGATTAATCACATTATGCACCAAAACATAGGGAAAGAAACACTTTTTATGACAAATAATAACTAAGAACGTTTGATTTTCTATGATAAGCTCACGCAGCAGCGTCTGCTGTGGCACGTATGGCTAGGGATGTCTTTTTTTGTTAGCGCGGGGGAAATGTCTACACATATCCGCCCTTAAGGAAGTAAGAATGGTTTACATCGTCTTGCAACGATTAATACCCCCATGATTTTCCATCTAGAGCGGATACCAGTTCCTCTTTGCTTCACTGTTGTTAACCGAGCCCTAACTACTAAGCTCCTCCACCAAGACGAGGCGAAACTAGGACTGTTGATAAAATATCGATATATCGAAATATCGATATATCGATATTATTATTTCGAAATATCGATATTTATTACTAATATTTTTTGGACGATATATCGATAGTTCGATATTGAAATATCGATATCGATGGTCGATATTTTTTTTAAATAAATTTTTATTTTCAATTTTTTTTGTAATTAATTTAATCTACAAAATCATCGTAAACTTCATCTACCGTATTTTATTTATGAAAATTAAGTTAGCCGACATTCAATAATTTTTAATTTTTTTATTAATTAAAAAACTATTTTTCAAAAATTCCAGGTATAATTTTTAAAATTTTCTACTCGTAAAAACTTTTGTTTTAATTTTTTAAAAATTATTTTTTAATAAAATAAATTATAAAAATTTTCAAACGTTGTTTGTTGTCACTGTCAGCGTTCACAGTTTAGCATAGTTAGTATCTTTACCTCTAGGCACTATTTAGATTAGTCTGTGGTTAACATTGAGCGAAGCAAATAGCACTTAAATATTTAATTTCTTCTGCTACATCTATAGCATCTGAACGAGTTGCTTCTACAATCAATCTTTTAGTTCCTAACAATCGTAGTAGCCAAACAGCTCTACATATAAAACAAAGAGTATTTTTAAAAACTCTTACTGAAAAATATTGGTATACATAATTGTCTTATTAATATTTAAAAAATAATTACTAAGAACTATAACCTAATACTTATGTACATTCATAATTTAATTTTTTTTAATAAATCTACTGGACTATAAATTGTGTAATCATTTTGAGCTGACTTACGATTTTTTTTTAAATAAAACCGATATATCGAAATATCGATATTTTTTTTCGATATATCAAACTTTTTTTCGAGATATCGAAAATCCGATATTTTAAAAAATGTCAACAGTCCTAGGCGAAACTCGGTCGAAAGGCACATATAGTTAGAAACGTCCGAAAGTACTATAACTTCACAAAAGTCATGTTATCTAAAAAAAATATCTTTTTTATATAGTAAATTAAATTAGAATAAAAATCAATTGATGAACTGTATTTAATCTGTACTCGTAAACACTTGTAACATCTGTAATCTGCATTCTGTCTGTGCTATATTAGCATTGTTTGAATTTAATTTGCTTGTCGGTTAATTTTGTGTTCTATTTACATTTAGAAGGTTGTTAAAAATGCTACACGTGCGATTTTTAAGAATTGCTTACCGTAATAAGTAATACACGTTTGAGGATAATTGTTAATAATAATAAACATGAGTGATAACATTAAAGTAGTTGTCAAAGTGAGGCCGCTTATACCTCGAGAAATAGAGGATAAGCTTTTTCGCCAATGGCGCGTAAAAAACAATACTCTTTATCAGATCGATCAAAATGGAAAAGACATTTTAAATGGATACACATTTGGTTAGTAAACAAATTCTGGATAACCTTTAAAATTTTCTAAATGTTGTTTAAGACTCCAAGAAAATTATGTTTAATAATCACTACTTATTCATTGTTATAGATAAAGTATATGATGAAACCGCAAAAACTACTGATGTATACAATGATGTCGCTAAGCCCATCGTCGAGGCTGCGGCAGCCGGCTTCAACGGAACAATATTTGCCTATGGACAAACTTCCTCTGGCAAAACTTATACCATGACCGGCACTGATGAATCCCTAGGAATCATACCACTTTCTGTGATGAACTTATTTGATATTATTAAAAACATCCCCGACAGGGACTATTTAGTTAGGTATACAATAACATTAAAGTTATATAAGTGTAACCTTAACTTTTTATCTTATAAACATTAAATGTTTCATTATTGATACAAGTAAATAGAATTTTATGGTGTAGAGCATAGAGTAGCTTTTACTGTATCATGAATAAGCCAATTCACCTGAAAAAGTATAACAGCCTCACTGAAGACTACGGTAAACTAAGGTATATTTATGCCTTAAATCTGGTTATGAGCGTCATTCTATTAAAATTTGGCAATAATACTAACACCATAGATATTTTGGTCATCCATGGCTGCATGTAATCTCTCATAAACATACTGTTTTTTTTTTTTTTTTCTTTTAACTTTCAATATTCAATATATCTGTTTACAAAAAATATGTATTTGTATGTGTCTTAAAAATAGAATGTTTAAACATGATGTTATTTTCCAGAGTATCATATGTAGAAATTTATAATGAAACACTGATAGATCTCCTTAATACAGAGAAAAAGAATATCAAAATTCATGATACATTGCAAGGTGTTAAAGTTGATGCAACTGTACGAGTGACGACTTCACCGGAGGAGGTACTTCAGTTTATGAGAGAAGTAAGTCATGTAAAAGATACTGTTATTGAAAGGCCTTGTATATTTATCGAACAGTTGATCTGTGCTTGGATAGAGATTTTCAACATCTTAATGTCAACCATGATAAAATTCTAAAAATAGTGTAATTAACATAATTTTCTTTCAGTGAATAAAATATTATTTTTCCTAATATGAACCACCTTTTAAGTTTGTTGATAGTAAATAAAAATTTTGCTTAAAAAAACTAAGAAAACAATACCCATTTCATGAAATGCATAGTTTGATCTCACTTTTTATGGTTCCATACTTTAAAAGATAAAAAAGGAACTCTATAAAATCACTCTCTTGTGCTTCTGTCTGTCTATGTGTCACCTTGCAAGTTGAAATTTATTTACTACAAAACTAAAAGTTATTCTTATTGTAATTTTATATAACATTGTGACTTAGACAGATATAAGTCATAATAATTATATGTTGTATTTTTCCATATCACAATAATACAGAATATTCTTTTAACATTACAGGGTCAAGCTAACCGACAAACTGGATCAACAAACATGAACGAAGAGAGCAGTAGATCACACTCTATTTTCCAAATTGTAAGAGTTTATTGTTTTGTTTCTTTCTATTACTGTTATATTATGTATTATGTTGAAATAATACTTCTAGATTAAATAAATAACTATTCTGTTATAATTTGTGAAAAGATTAGATAATTTAAAGTCACATTTTGAGCTCTAACCGTACAATAAGATATCAAAACACTGGAGAAATAGAAAACCAATTTTACTCATAAAGATGTTTGATAATTTTTTTTGTTTTCAGACAATAGAATCTCGTGAGCACATAGAAGGTGAAGAAGTAGGCTGTTTAAACGTTTCACAGTTGAATCTAGTTGACTTAGCTGGGTCAGAGCGGTCCGGCCAAACAGGCGCAACCGGGATTCGGTTTAAAGAAGGGACCCACATTAACAAATCTTTGTCCTCACTTGCACTTGTGATAAAACAGCTCTCTGAAGGACTAAACAAGTATGCATGATGCAATTAAACTTTCCAAGTTTATTAACAAAAACAAATATTAACAAAGAAGATTGATTTGATTCATTATTTTGATCAATTGAAATATATTACACAGATTTTTTTCATGATTATGTTGGACTTTATTTACATATAATTATAGTTTAAAAAATTTTTTTAAATGTTCATTTCTTTCAAATACCCATTGCAGACATGTTAGCTATAGAGACAGCAGGCTTACAAGGATCTTACAAAATTCTTTAGGTGGAAATGCTAAGACAAGTATTATTTGTGCTGTTACCCCCGCTGCTGTAGAAGAAACAATTTCAACACTACAGTAAGATTGTTTATATTTATTTTGTTTAGTTACTATAAAAATCGAAATATTTATTATTATTATCATTATGATCTAAATACTTTTTAGGTTTGCTTCAAGAGCCAAAGCCATTAAAAATAGTCCTGAGGTCAATGTTGTTGCAACAGACACTAAGATGATAGAGAGTTTAACAAAGCAGCTCTCCTCATTGAAAACCCAGCTGGAGAACAAAAGAAATGTTGAAGTAAGTAAAATACCAATTAATTCTGTGTTTAGTTTGCATAATTGTCACAATTTACTGGTCTAATTTTATTTGTCTTGTTGGTGCTGCCAATGCCTTATCTCTGTCATTTAAAAATTTTTTATTTTAATAATTTCTTGTATTTACGCGATTACACATTATGAATGAAACTAATTTTTACGGATTTATCGTTTTTATTTTTAATTTTCATTCCCAACATTTCAAACCCTTTACAGCGTTCATGGTCACGGGACAGTCTGTCCCGTCTGTCAAAACGTCGATAATTAAAATTAAAATAATCGCGATAAATCCGTTAAAATTAGTTTCATTTCCATTACGGTGGTAGGGCCACGCAGCAGCCTCGGCTGTTGCACGAATGGGCAGGCCCGTCCGGGTAAGTACCACGACCTCACAGAAGACCAGCGTAAAGTGGAAGTATGACAAATACTTTCGCGTTTCGTCTGGTGAGTGAGGTAGCCGGAACCCAATTTTCAAAAGGTTGTCAACACATCTGTAACACTCGGGTGTAGCAGATGTCCATGGGCGGCGGTATTCACTTACCATCAGGTGACGTCTGCTCGTTTGACAACTTTTCGCATAAAAAAAAAATATTTTTATCAAATATACGCCTATGACGCAACAATACCCAACCTTTAATAAGTTTGCAGATTCCATGACCTTATAACATAAAATTGTTACATGCTTACCCTGTGTCTCTACAATTTCAGGAAGACAACCATAAGCTGCAAAAACAAATTGCAGTTCTCCAGAGATTTCTCAGCGGCTTTGGTCAGCAGAATACAGCAGAGATGATGACTGGAAACCGACGTAAAATGCAGCAAATGCGGCGAGCTACTATATCGACACCGCACGTTCGTCAAGAAGATTCAACTCCAAGTGCACCAAGGTTTTGCACACCCAGCCTTAAATACAAGTAAGATTGCTTTATAAAGTATAAAAACAGGGTACTTTTTCAAATAATTAATTCAAATACGATGACTCCTTGGGGACCCTATTTTTTTTTTTTTTTTTTAACGTTGGGAAATGCATCATGCATACTCTCCTTAGGGGAAGCAAGGAGAGTTATGTTGGACTCCCGCTCTGAGAAGGGCAGACCTACCAACTAAAACCCATCGGGTGTCCTCCTCTGCCGTCAAATGCTGGAGTGCAGGGCCCGCTTAAGCGATTCTGCTGCAACCCAGCCACGGCTACCCCGACCCTGCACAGGGCTGGGGCACACCACGAAGGGACTTTTGTCCCCGTCCTCCGCATGAGTGCCCATGACACCAGTGGGCACTTTGCCTTCGCGGGGCCTCATACTGTTAGGTGACAGACGTCCCCACGTCTGTCACCCGGAGGCCCATTAGGGCGGGAGACGGCGCTCGTGTGCCGCCCGCCTTCTCCCCATGCGACGTCGCCGGATCGGGTCAGAAGAAGCATTCTCCTCCCTCTCCCTTTCGGCGGCCTCCTTCTGTGAGACGACTGTCTCGCAGAAGGAGGCCATCGCCCTCCACGCCGCCTTGCTGTCGACCATTGCTCTAAAGATGGCCGGCAGCGAGAGATCCGACCCGACGACGTCACGGAGCCGCCCTCGCGGCTCCTCCCACGCCGGGCATTCCGTCATCGTGTGCTGCGCCGTATCGTCGGCGCAGGTACAATGGTGGCACCTTTGGCTCGGTTCCCTCCCGATAGCGTGCAGGTAATGACCGAAGCATCCATGCCCAGTCATCATCTGCACCATCCGGAATGACAAACTGCCATTTCGGGAACCGATCCACTTCTCCATGACAGGCCTGATGGCCTGTGCCACTCTATGTCCGGCAGTGGGAGCCGCCAAAAGTTCCTGCCAGGTGCGCATCAAAATGACGCGCACCTGGCGTCGCCATCTTGCGATTCGTTCGGTGGAAACGTTATCGCCGCACCTCTTCATCTCATTAAAGTCGTCCGCCACAATTACCGGTCGAGGTGCAACTCACCTAATGGCCGCCTGCATATCACCGAGGAGCGTCTCGAGCTCAGCAAGGGTTTTGTTTGGGGAAAAATACACCGAGAATATTGTGTATTTCCCCCAGTCGGCCGCCACAAAACCATTTCCCCTCTCTTTGACGGAAAGGGGCGTGGTACCATCTGGAACATAGATGGCCGCTGTGCCCGTAGCATCCCCTATCCAGTTGGCGGGTATGCAATAAGGCTCCGTTACCACCGCTAGTCCAATTTGCCATTGCGCCAGTGCCTGAAATAATAGATCCTGGGCACCGGCGCAATGGTTTAGGTTTATCTGGAGGAAATGTCTATCCCTATCCATTATTAGAGTCGACACACATTTCCTCTTGTCGGGACGAATCCCTATCCACCTGCTGGGAGGCCGGGGTCCTGCCGGCTTTTTTCCCTTTTTTTGGTGGGGAGCAACCCTCTGCCCCTACCGAGTGCTCAGCTGGCCTACCTGCAACTGCGCATACTGCCCAGTGGGGTTTGGCTAAGCATGCCGCTGCTTTGTGCCCAGGAGCACTGCAGCGATAGCAAATATCGCTGCGGTCCACCTCCGAAGTGCACTGGAGTCGCGTGTGCCCGATTTCTAGGCATCGGAAGCACTTCATAGGGCGCGGCTTCAGGGACTCGACGTGTACATAGCTCCAGCCAATCCTCATACTCCGAGCTGACACCAGGACCTTAGCAGCTGCCACTGGACATTGCACCCAGATGCGGCCAGTGCCCCGGCGGCCCTCCCGAATTTGCCCGCCTTGACGTGGTCAAGGGGACAGGCGGCTGCAGCGGCAATCCCGGCAAATCATCCCTGGTAACGGAATCATCCAGGCCAGTAAGCGCACTTCACCGGCCTGGCGATCCGTGCCTCTCCGGCGAGGACCTCATGGAGCTTCGCGGCGAAACTGTCCGCTGCTTCGCTCGTGACCCCTGCTGGATGCTCGAGAACTCGAGCTCCCGTGGCCGCCTGCCTTATATTCAGGCCTGCCGGGATGTTCAAGGCCGTCAGATCTAACCTCTGACGGGCTTTGGTGAGAACATCACTATACGTTACCCCCTTTTCGACGGCATCGTGCTGTAGTGTGATTACTACAGCTGCCGTCGTAGGGGCACGTAGTTTGCGGCCTCTACGCCTCCGCTTCTTTTTATTAGCGGCGGCTGGCGTCGCGGTGGCCACAGCGGGTCTTGATGCCGTACCGGACTTGGGCACCGCAGCGGATCCCGTTGCGACCAATGGGGGCCTCGGCACCGTAATAGATTTCACGGCGGCCGCAGGTGGCTTAGGCGTCGCGACGGGCTTAGCCACAGACCTCTTTGGCTTGGCGGAGATCTGATCTGCACGTCAAGCGCGGGCGCTGTCTTCTTTCCCTTCCCCTTTCTCTTCCGTACCATTGCACTCCACGTCTCTCCCAGAGAGGTAGGGGTGGGATCTGGTGCCGATGAAGGTCCAGGTTCGGCGCTGCGCCTATCCGCAGCCAAAGGCGGCCTCAGGCGCTTCTCCGGGAGCAAGCGCTCCTCGAGAGCCTGGAATCGCGCGCTGATCATCGTCCCTACTTGGGATAGTACATCACGCGCAATATACTCAGCCTGCGGTGTCGGTGCCGGCGTCCGTTCCTGGGCTGGACGAGCCGCCTTCTCTATACTGAGACGCATGCTAGCAACCTCCTTTTGGAGCGTCGCCACCTCGTCCCGCAGCCGTTTGTTGTCGCCCTGGAGGCGGCGGGTTTCATCAGTCGATGATATGCTCTGTAGAGCGTTCACCGCCTCCCGGATCATCTCAGCCGCTTCCTTAAGGGCTTTTACAAAAGTGCCCTTTAGGTTCTTTGATTTCGTAGCGACTTTGGTGATGACTTTAATGCCATCATCGACCCTCTCAAGCAGGGTCGAAGAAAGGCGAGAGTCGACTACGTCGTCAAAGCCAGCGGGGCGCAATGCTCTATCGAGCCGGCGCCTTTGGATCAGCTCTGGAACCTCCTTCTCCGCCTGGAGCTCCATCTCTGCCCTCCTGGCTTCCATGAGCTCCCGCTTCCCTTTCGCCAGCCCCAAATACTGCCCACTATTGGGCGGGCGGCCTCTACCCCTTTTAGGCACAGGGGTGCCTCTCCTTTTGAACGCCGAAGATTCCGGATGATCATCTGCTTCGGCGTCTGCATCCGAGGCGCGAGTGCGCTTCTTGCGCACTCTCTGGGCCTCTCCGCTACCCATACTGGCGAAGCTAGCGTTGCTAGCTACGCTATTTTCCAATTCCAGGCTCATTTCAGAGCCAGAATCTGACGCGAATATACCGCCTACCTCCTCTAAACTCCCTACTGTGGTTGATGTCAAAGGGCCATCCTCCTTTCTTTGGGCATCACAGCGTTCGAGCTGTACGCCTAACTCCTTTAGAACGTCATTTGCTTTTAGATTTTTCTTTTCCATTTTTATTCCCACGAGTTGGGACGATATAGATGCACTCCCCGGTTACGCCCATTCCGGTCGACTAAAAAGTGGAGTGGGGTACATACTGTGGAGGTCCCCAGGTATTCACAGGTTTTAACGAGGGTTCTCTCGAGCTTTATAGGGTTTTCCTTCCCGCGGGCCGGCCAATTAAGGCAAGCCCTCCGACCAGCGACACAGAAGCACTGACACATATACGCACCCAAACACATACACACACACAAATACCCACACAACATCTCCAACTGGAGCCACCAGAAGGGTCGTTGAAGTGAGTCGCTGGTTGCGGAACGAGGAGTTGGCGAAATCTCCTCCGACGGTGGTGTCAGACGCACTGAGATTAGTCAGCGCGCCGACCCGTCCTGCTAGGCCCTATCCGATGTGTTCTCTGCTGATGAGAGAATCACACGGAGAGCCCCTCCTTGTGCTGCTCTTCGTCTGGTCCCTCGCTCCGAGCCTGTCCGGTATGGGAGACCCTATCCGGCATAGCCTTGGAGGTCATTAGGACACGCAAGCCCCTCCACCACAACAAGGTGGCAGCACGACGGGGGGACTCCTTGGGACCCTAACCTAACTTTTAAATTTCAGTATTTGGACTTTCTACATGCAATAGCATGTTATGTGAGTTTTTCTTTTCTTTGTATGAGGAGGTGGCAAACACGCTGGCCATTGACATTTGCAACACTCGTAGGGTTGCAGATGTGTTGCCACATTTTAATAAAGTGGGCCCTGGCTACCTCACTCACCAGACAAAATGCAGAAGTTTAACACTTCTACTTCACATTGTTCTTCAGTGAGGTTGTGGATGGATCTGCCCTTTCATGCAACAGCAAGAACTGTTGCGTGGCCCTACCACAGAGCGACACACACTGACTAGAAAAATAACAGGATTCCGTGCCACGCATATCTACATGAAGAATTGTATAATCTATGTGTGAGTGTGTAGAAAGGGGTACCAGACGATTTTTTGTATGTTTTCATTTATTTTAATAGGAAGTTCAACAATTATTTTAATATGTGTTCTTACATTATTTAATTAAAATAACAGAAATATATTTAAAATTGAGTTTTTCGTTTGTGTTTCATTAAAAAAAAAAACGCTGCTGCAATAAGTACATAATTCAATTAATTGTGTGTGTATTAATGTGAGCAAATATGGCCGTGCTGGAGTAAAGTTTTCCTAAAGCTGTAAAAATTTACCTATAAGAAGAAAATTTTATCTTTTACCCCTACTAATATTATAACGTCGAAAGTAATTCTATCTATCTGTCTATCTCATATTCACGACAAGAAGACTGCATTGATTTCAGTGATATTTTATATCAATTTAGGTATTTGACAGCTAAATTGACATCAAATTAGCTGTGTGACTGTATATGTCCTGTACATACACTATTTTTAATCATCACAGCACGAGTGAAACCACAGTTGCAGCTGTTATGTAATAAAACTCCAAATATTTAATCAAAGTGTTTAATAACAACTTACATACTGCAAAAATATTATAATACTCAATTATAATATTTTTGCAGCTTGTAAATACTAAATTACTTATGAATATTGCCATTCAACCATATTATTTATCTTGCAGCCCAACATTGATAGCAAGTTCATCGGAATTCCTACCAATACATAGCATGAACAACCTTGCCAGTGTTCCTGAGGAACCAGTTCGACTTATCACACCTCCACCAAAAGATCATAGGACAACTGTGAATGAAATTATTGAGTTAGGTAAGACATTAAAATTTTCAAACTTCATCTACTAAAAAGGTCAATTGCGAGTCCGACTCGCGGACTAATACTAGATAGTCAAGTTTGAGGGAGCGACAAAGACTTTTTTAAAAAGTTTTATTTAAAAATTAATACTAAGTCTTATTACTAGTGAGTGTCTTAACAGATTTAGATGCTAGAGACGACTCGTGAGACGTCCGAACAGATTGAGATGCTCCTGACGACTGCCAGTTCTGTGTCTTACAATTATGTCTTACATTTCTAACTTTATTATCTAATATAAACAATTCTCACGTTACTGTCTGGCGAACAGGATGCTTATATCTGCGTTAGCAGTTTCATGAGAATTGTTACTGGCGAACCTGATGCTTTTATCTTGGTTAGCAATTTCTCAAGAATTGTTATTCGACCACTGTTATCGCTATGCTGACTGAGCAGTCTCGAATGCAGGTGTTCTTATCAAGCGCCCGGGTGGTCGCAAACCTAGATACCCTAGATGCAAACAAATCACAAAACTGTCATTAAATGTAAAATTTAAAAACAAACAAAAATACGAAATACTTATTTATTCAAATCTTTTGCCACACTTCGCCTGCATTTCAAAATATGATTAAAATAAACTTTCTTAGTGATACATATGGACGATTATAGTTCAAGCACCTCATTACCCTCATACATGTGTTAGTCGAACACGTCTTGAAAGGCTGGGATTACTACAAGTTGAAAACATTAAATAAGCAATCTTACTTGTTAAGTTATAAAGGCGATTTTCATTTGGTGTTGCATCCATCTACTCATACAAATGTCCGTCGAACGCGTCTTTAATGGCGACTTGCAAGGGCCTAACTTCCGCCGCGTTCCATAATGTTTACGAGTCCCAACCAAGTCAATTCTTATTTCTCGATACGCGTTTTTGCTATATTATTATAATTAGCCTTGAGACATATTGTAGCGAAACCTAGTGTCATAGCCTGTTGCATTATATACGCCTCACCTCTAGGTTGTTGGCCGCTCGCTCAGGCTCGACCGCTCAGGTTGTTGGCTAAGCATCAGAAACTTTAGCCAATAACCCGGCAGCAGTGCAAAAACTTCGACGGTTTAACCAACACATTTTTAAGTTCATCTGCTGTAACAGATTATTTAATATTGTAATGTAATAATTCCGTACTTTTTAGTATTTAGTTATGACTCGATGGCGCTGTTGCTTAGCTATAAGCTTCGGCGTTGGGGTCGTGGGATCGATTTACACACAGGACTAGTCAAAATCAAAATCGAAATCAAATGTCTTTATTCAGCATAGGAGTATTACACTCGCTTATTGATAGTCAAAATACTACCACCGGTTCTTAAAAGAAAGCTACTGTACTGAGAAGAACCGGCGAAAGAAACTCAGTGGGCTTTTTTTTTTTAAAGTGTTTGTGTGATCCACAAATAAATGTTCCACGCCTGGGTGTTTGTTTCCCAAGGAAGGGTTGTCAGGCAGATGATACACATGTTGTGCCAACCGCGCCTAGGTGTTATAAGGGCAGGGGAATAATGATGCTGATGAATTCTATCATTCAATTTTATCAGTGCTTCATAACAATTTTTTTTTTCAGATAGTGATGATGACATACCATCAGACGTGCAGACCTGCTCGCCATATCACAAATGTTTTAGTAAGTTAATAAATAAAAATAAGCTAAGTACCACAGCTTCTTGTAACTGAAGTTTTCGTACAGTTCAATTTTATTTATTTTTAAAGATAAAACTAATTGTTACCATAAAATGGCTCTAATAATAACTGTGTGTAATTTTTGCGTAGACATAGAAAATCATTGTTTCAGATTCATCTAAAACGCCGCCTTGTGTTCTTAGAAAAAATGCGATTGAAGCTGAGAAAAACTTTAAAGATCTTGTAGAACTTACAGAACGGGAAAAGATTTATACGCCACGTGTGGTGAGTAAAATCTTCGTACCCACGAGTCTTACCCGGTATCTTACTGTGTTATCATTGGGTAATTTGCCAATTTTACTCAATAATAGCTTTTTCGAAAATTATAAATAACGAACAAAATTGCTTTAATTAACTCCCGCGTAGTCATGCGTGGAATACGATCATTATGGTCGACGGGTCAGTGTAGAAAATAATACTGCACTTTAAAGTTATAAAACAACACTGAAAGAGTAACTATCACAATTTTACATTTTTGGATCTATTATCTTTTATTTTTGGATAAGCAAATGAGTGTATTGATATACTACTCATTGTCAGCCTGGTACTATCAATATAGACGCTTTGTTAATGTGGAGGTTAAGACATACCCAGATGTGTATATTTTTTATATTTTATGAACCATAAGCATTGTTAAATAGATATTGTATTTTTTTAAGATTTTGTTTTTATTGGGTCACTACGAACTTTCTTTTGCCGTGTGCTTTCGTATGTGGTTTTAAATTATAAAAAAGTAAATGACACCAGCACTCTAATGTCCTACAATGTTATAATGATTATGATATTTAATTAAAAAATAAGGAAATTATATAATCCTGCTTTGGTAAGGGTGAATTTTATAAAGTTTGATTATTATAGAGTATTATCAAATTTGATTTTGACTTACAAATTAATGGACCCTATTGAGGTTACGTAAAATAGCAATGCAAATATCTGCAAGAAGTTGATATGTGCACATGTTCCTAAATACGCTATGGACTAAAAACTGTTATATTACCTTAATTTTATAAACCCTCACATCACTCCCTCACCTCACACCGCTTTCCTTTTTTTTATTTCATCCATTTGGTTTTATTATCTAAGGTCGAACTAATCGAAAAGCTGGAGCACAGTACATCAGTTATAGCTAAACTGGAGGAAAATATTGACATCCTGAAAAAGCTTAGCAAAGAAAATGAATCAGAAATAGATGTATTAAGAGAAAAAATCATTAAAACTGAAGAAGAGGTTAGAAGTGTTACATCAGCTAAGGTAGTATAGTGCATTTTTGTAATTTACACATTAAATAATCAGTTGCACATTTAATCATTTAGTTAGTTGTGAAAGTAGATCTTGGCACCGTTTATTATAATGTTAAAAGATAAAAAATATTATTTGTTATTATACATATTCATAACTAAATCATTGTTTAGTTAATTTGCTAGGGATAGAAATAATTAATACTATAGTCATAATATGTCATTAAATTGCTTTTTATTTTGGCAGGTTCAATTAGAAGCACTTTGCATAGAGTACAATACGAAGCTCACAGATTGGGAAGTAACATACGATACTTTAAAGAAAAAGGCCAAAACAAGGGAAGAAGAGTTGCTTTCTCGGTTGGAAGAGTTTGCCAATGTAAAAAAAATTGTCAACACTGGTAAGTTAATGGAAATGGAATGTCAGTCTTTTTGGGCCAATAAACAGCTTTTTCTGTTGGCCTGACCCAAGACCAGCGTACAGGCATTTTTTTTTTTTGTAAATGGTTAGCAACGCATCTGCAACCCATCCATTGTTGTTGATGTCCTTAGGCGGCGGTAATCATTTAACATCAGTTGAAATGCTTGTATTTATATTTTGTGTGGAAGGGCCTGGATAACCAACGAGTACTGCGACCTATAAAGATCTATTGTAGTTTTCGTTTCGAAGACATTACTGAAGGATAAAATTGTCCTGTGTTGTAAGGATGTTTTGCATATGTAAGCTTTACGTGGACATACCGCCCAGATCCCAACTAACTGCCGCTTACACAAATAGTTGTTTCGTGTGGGGATTGAATCCATGACTCCCGGCGCTGAAAGGAACTGAACTGTTTACTTGCTTGCTATCTTTTGTTTTAATGTTCTTTTATTTTAACTTTTTAATTCCGCCAGTATTATTATTTTCAGTTGAAGCACAAGGAATTGTGCAAATCAAAGACACAAAAGATATAAGCGCTACTGCAAGTGATAGTATGTCTCCAAATATTGAAGAACATATTGTAGAATTAAAGGAGCAGTTATCAAAAAGAGACAAAACTATTTCAGAGTTGGAAACAAATTTACACATACAGAATGAAAAAGTAATGTCCCTTGAAAGGCGCTCACACGAAATTGAAATATCACTAGAGTCCTGTAAAGCACAACTTAGCAAATCAGAGGATGAGAATATTTTACATAAACACACAATAAAAACATTGAATAATATTATAGAAGACCAAAAATTGAACTTGGAAACCGCGACAAACGACTTACAATCATATAATAATACGATACAACAATTGCAAGATGAATTGAATAAAAAGGAAAAGTTATTGAGTATTAGTCTCAGTGATGCTGATATAGAAAATTTAATTATAAATGAAGATAAACTTATAGCTAATAACGAAAATATAAATAACATTATTCACTCTTTAAAAATCGCTCTTGACTCTAAAAATAAAGAGATAAAGGCCCTAAAGTCGACTCAAAGTACCGAGACCGTGGATAAAGAAATTGCAACTGAACTTTCTGAAAAACAATTGCAAATAACAGAATTGCATGAGAAAGTGACAAAACTAGAACAGCAAATGGAAAGCAACAATTTAGATTTGATAACTTTGTTAGAAGAGAAAAGCTGCTTATTAACATCTCTACAAAACGTAAATGACGAATTATTAGAATTTCAAGATATCAACGAGGACATGTGTAATCGAATAAAAAATTACGAAAGTGAATTAAGAAGTTTAAAAGAACGAAACGAAGAATTAAAAGATCAAAAGCAACATGTAGAAACCGAATTCACAGAATTTAAGACAGAACTGACATCTCAAATAAGAATTTATCTGGATAAAATTAATAATTTGGAACACGACTTGCAACTAAAAAACGTCGAAATTGAAACACTGAGTAAAAACGTCGATGAAACTAAGAATGTTAAGAGACTTAAAGAAATTATAAGAAAATTGCAAGATGTTTTAGTACTGTTAACGGATGGAAGTAAGAATTATTCCCAATCAAATGAGACTGCTCCAGAATATTTTGATACAATAAATGATAAATTTAATGACTTGGAGAGTACTTGTATGGAAGTAATCGATTGTATAAACGTATTTAAAACTAATTTTTTGAGAGATGTTGGTAAGCAATTTTTAAAGGAAATAAAATCATTTGATAGTGAAATTGCCATGTTAGAAAGTGTTTTAAGCAATTCAGTGTATCACAGAAAAAACGTTTTTGAGCTAAATGACGCGGCAAATATAATACAAAAGGAACATAATGAAAACAATTGTTTAGAGAATCTGAATGACGACTTTATAAAAGATTTTTCAGATGTAGATGCGAATTCATTGCTGACCATGATTAACGGTTTGTGCTCAAATTTGAAACAGAAGATTAAAAATATAAAATTAGAATATATATCTTCTTTCGATGTATTAAAACATAAATTGGGAGCAAAAGACTCTGAAATAAATCAACTTGGTGAAAAAATTGATCATCTCGAAACCAACCTGGAATATAAATCTCAAGAACTGCAGTCTACGTTAAAAGCAAATAATATGATTATGATGGAAAATGAAGAGATAATGAATAATGTTTTTCACAAAATTTTAGAATCCGCACGTAAGTTGAAGCTTGAAATCAATTTATCGTGTGACTTAAAAGATATGTGTGATAATGAAAACTACAATAAAAGCCAAATATTAACAATATTGGATTGTATGGTCAGCCTATTTTTGTCAAAATCTGAGCAATTAGAAGAGTTTGCAAAGCAAACAGCTATTCTAGTCGACGCCCAAAAGAAAGTACAAAGCTTGTCTGGTGAAAACATAGATTTAGCCCAAAACTTATCAAAAGTCACTAGGAGTAACAGTGATTTGGCAACTGAACTGCAAGAAATTAGGAAAGGCAACAAAGATTTGACAGAAGATTTGAATGCAAGTGCTGAAGTGCTGAAAGGCTTAAAAAAAGAGTTAAAAGCGAAGACGAATGAAATAGAGATGATGGGGGACACGGTGCTTAAATGGAAAGAACAGTTTACTGAACTTGATAATCTAATGAAAAAACAATTGTCTGATCTCCAAGAGGAGAATACGAAATTAAGAAAAATATGTGTGCCGCAAGAAACGTTACAAAAAGAGTACGATGATGACGAAGACTCCAATAATAGTGATCTTAATAAAAATACTGTTAATGTAATTGCGGAGCCATCTAAATGTAACTTTATCAACTCTCCACTAAGTCTTTTAACAATTTCCTGTAACAAAATTATAGAAATTATTCAAGAAAATAATTCTCCATCTGTAACAGATTCAACATCAAAGTCGGAAGTTGACCAATGTAACGACGAATGCTCAATCAATTGTTTTGAATGTGAAAAATTAAAAGAAGAATTAAACGTCCTAAACCACAAAAATTCAGAACTCACAAAAGATCACGACACATTAAAATTGACAAATGAAAATCTAATGAAAGAAATACACGATGCTTATGAAGAGATAAAAGACCTTCTGGCTTGTACAAATGACCTTCAAAAGAAAATAGTTAATCATAGAACTAATCTCTCGACTCTAACGGCTACGACTTACGCGGAAAACAAATCCCTAAGTTCACAAGTGAAATTTCTGCAACTTCATCACACTCGTTTCCACACTGTATGCCAACGGGACTTACCCGAATTGAAGGAACAATTAGACGAACTTATGAAGTTATTAAAAGAGGAAAATATGGAACATAAGTTAAATAACAGTTTCAAAAGATACTCTCTGCCCGTTCCGTTAGATAGTAACTCGCTCATGTACAGTTTTAAAAACGAATCGACACTCGATGGTGACGTTTTAATGTTGGACACTAATTTTACTGTGACCACTTCAGCGGATAACACAATTACAGGCCTCGATCAGACTTGCTGTGAAGTAACACAAGCTTTTCCCTACAGAGACATAGGTTGCCAAACTACGTGCTTGTTAAATGAAGTGACCATTTCTCATACATTATCCAACGATGTTGATATTATGAAACGGCCTGATATGTTGCAAATGGAGAATAAAAAACATTATGAGCTGTTTTACGATGCTCTAGATAATAAAAACGATATCGTCAAGGTGAACGCCGAAACCAGTCCAATTAAACATATTTCAATTATAGATGCCTCCGAAAAGATATGTAATTCATGTGAACAAGAAAAAGATCAACGAACTCAATTAGCACATGAAATTGGAAAATTGAAAGATAAGTTAGTAGATGTGACTAATCAGAGAGATGATTTGAAGAAAAAATATAATGATCTCAGTCTAGAAGTTCCGTCGATAGAGGTTTTACTACGAAAGTTGCACAATTTTGAAAAAGAACTCGAAAACAAGAGTAAAGAGATTGGAAAATTGTCAACTTGCTTGATGTCCACAAAAGATCTGAACAAAAAATTGCAAGAAGAAAATGATAATTTATCAATACAGTTAATGGATTTTCTATCAGAAATCGACGACCTTAAGAAAGAACTGGACAATGGCAAAAAAATGAATTCGGCAAATATTCCCAAATCCAACATGCTCTCAGAAAATACCAAAGATACTAAAGACGTAATGCCAATGGCGTGCCTTGAATGCATTAAGAAAGATGAGCAAATCGAATCTCTTGAACATAAACTTTCCAATACGCACACTCGTTTGAATAGAAGCTATAGCGACTCCGACAGCTCCTCCCGATACAATAAGATATGCACCTTGCAAAATGAATTAGAAGCCGGCAGGGAAGACTGTAACGAGTTAAAAGAAGAAGTGACAACAATTAAGAACCAACTCGAAAGTAATAATTTATCGATCAGTCAAGCGATGGACTTAGACGAAAGCATCGGCGATACGAATGCTGTTGATTCCGTTACGAACAAGTCCGTCATGCCGAAAATAACAGAGGAACACGTCACCGAAATATACAACCACGATAAATTGGATTGCTTAAACTATTACATAGAAAAAGCCGGCAACGAGAGGAATTTTAACAGAGACGTCAAGATTATTGACGTGATGAAAGCGCTCTATACTAATCTAATGACGGAACACGAGAATCAGATTGAAATAATGGCGAATCAACTGAGGGATTACGAAGATTCCAAGCGCGAAATACAAGAAAAGATTATTAACGTAACGAAAGAACTGGAGAAGAACTATTGTGACGCGAAAGAGATTGAAAATAAATTATCAATATTGAGAAAAAACATTGATGTTGTGATAGAACATGCTTCTACCACCGATGCAATTGAATTGTTCAAACAAAAAGTTTTAATGGTCCTAGACACAGGATTTTCTATGAATAGTAGATCAATTTTTGAAACTATACTAGATCATACAATCAGTAAAAACGTAAATGATTTAGATGAGACTAGGATTAAATACGTTCAATTAGAAGAATGTTCTCGTAAGTTAAAAATGGAATTGGAATCGGCACATAAGGAGATATTGCAGTTTAAATCGTCGCTATCCGATAAGGAAAAGGAATGCAATTTACTTGTGGCGCAAAAGGCCAAGATTCATGAAATTAACAATGCCCTTACCATGGATTTGGTCAATAGAGATAAAGAACTATCTGAAACAATTATTGAACTTTATAAAAAACTTGTCGATGGGAACTTGCTAAAAACTAACGATGTTGATGACACATTGGCTCCAATTAAAAAACTTCACCTGCTGAACGATCTATTAGTTAATTATAATAATGCACACATATCAGAAAAAGAGAAGGAAATAAACGTTCTTAAGCAAGATATTACGAATTATAAAATGGCTATAGAGGAGAAATCAAGAGAACTATGTGCAATGACAGAGCTATATGGAAACACAAAAGAACTTAACGATAGAAGTCTCAAACACAAAGAAGATGAAATACAAAAACAAAAATCACTATATAACGATCTGAACACAATATACAATACAAAGGTCGAAGAGAACAACGTCAACCGTTCATTGATACAAAAGTTGACGGAGGAAATCTGCATACTTAAAGAGAGTATCTCAAGAAAGGACACAGCAATACACGACCAACAGGTCAAATTAGATAAGTTTGTAGAAAAGAGTGCTCAGAGCGAAAATAAGGTGGCGGAGCTGATGCAATACATTTCAACAGCGGAAGCCCAACTCGACAGTCTAAAACTCGTCAACCATACCTTAAACGTGGAGAAAGAAGCAATCGCGGCCGAATACGAAAAATTGAGAGCGGTGATTGATCAAAATAAGATTGAACAAGAGAAGATGGAATCCGACATTTTGGTGTTAAAAGAATCCGTCATGGAGAATAACAATGTTGTGGACGGTCTTAAATGCAAAATCACTACGTTATCGCAAGAAAACTTGCAAATGAAGGAACAGTTGCAGGATAAGTGCAAAGAGCTGTCGCGGCTGGAGTTCAACATAAAAACGCACGAGACCACGGCGAAAATACAGACTAAAATGATATCAAGGTATGAATTTATTTATTATATGTGCCATAATATAAAATTATGAGTGTTAAGTTACGCCCTGACATAAAATAAACTCAATCTATAGCTAAGAACCATCTCGTACAAGTCGGCTTTCAAACATGATATACCCCTGTCGGTAGAAACAAACACGGGTATTTAATTATTCAATTTTATCATTTTTTTTTTTTTTTTTTTTTATGCGAAAAGTTGTCAAACGACCAAACGGTTTACCTGATGTTAAGTAAATACCGCCGCCCATGGACATCTGCCACACCCGAGGGTTACAGATGCGTTGACAACCTTTTGAAAATTGGGCTCCGGCTACCTCACTCACCAGACGAAACGCGAAAGTATTTGTCATACTGTCACTTTACGCTGGTCTTCTGTGAGGTCGTGGTACTTACCCGGACGGGCCTGCCCATTCGTGCAACAGCCGAGGCTGCTGCGTGGCCCTACCACCATCATTATGTAGTTGAGCTATTTAAAAAGTATAGGAAAGTAATAAAAGGAACTTCTTTATCTTCGCGTGTAATTCAATTTTTTTTTCAACGTTTAGAATACTTCATTAACATTTTGTACAGTTGTATTGCTTTTTATTCGCAGACTGCAAAAACAGAAAGACGAAGACGCGAACGCTATCAATGAAAAGGACAGACGACTGGCGGAACTCGATCGGAAGTGCGACGCTTTGCAAAAGGATTGTGCGCGAATGAACGATTGCATTGCCGATCTTAGACAAGAATTGGACACGTTGGAACAATTGAAACATTCCCTCGAGGTATAACTCTTATTCAACTGTCGCGACTTACCCTTCACCGGTAAAGCAACGCAACATCTGCTGCAAAACAAGCTGCCTCCACCGGTGAAGATAAAAAGCCTTTAAAATAGACGGTTTCAATATAAATCCACTTTCAATTGAGTGGATGTAAAAAATGTTACTGGCTCTGGGTTTCTGTTTCGGCAACTCGTCGTGTGATAATTATAGCCACTATTGAATATTGATTATGATAGTAATGGAAATATATAATCTTTTGAACTAATAACATAACTACACGGAGACTCGTTTGGAAATCTCATGCGCGAAAATGTTTTCTTCACCGACAGGAGAAGGTAATGAGGTTAGAAGCCTGTAATGAGAGTGGCCACAAAGTCGGCGTGTCTATGGAATCCGTGAAGGATTCGTTGAAAATAATCATGGCCACTATTAAATAGATACTATGATAGTAATGTAAATACATAATTTTTTAGACGTAAAACTTGTTATTGAACGGAGATTCGTTCGAAACTTCACGCGCGAAAACTTTTTTTCACCGACAGGAAAAGGTGACGCAGTTAGAAAGCGGTCATGAGGGTGTCCACAAATCCCGCTTGTCTATGGAGTCCGTGACGGACTCGTCCCGGCGCAGAAGGCAGAGCATCCACGACTCCACGCGGGCGTTTGATGACATAGCACAAGGTGCGTTATTTACTTTAGCTACACACATCTGCAGGCTTTAAAAAACGAGAACATATGCTCCCCATGAGCATTTGTGAGTTTAGCCTTATATTTGCTTAAGCAATATATTACATATAGCGGCGAGCAATTAATATTATAACATAATTTCAAGGGCATAATGGGGACTTTACTGGAATTTGTTTCTGATTGTACAATCTTTATTTTGATTGACGCAGAACCGCTTCTGGTTGTTTCACGAATGGGCAGGGAAAGTACCGCGCCTTCACAGGGACCCAACCTAAAACTCTTTGTTTTTGTTTTTAACGTTTTCAAAGATTTCTTGCGTTTTGGTATAAAAACGCACTAACTAAATCACTACAGTCATGTTGTTAAATAAAACTCATTAAAACTTGTCCCGTGACGATAAACTTTGTATAGCGTTCGAAACCTCGCGAATTGAAATCGAAATTAAAATGGAATTTTTTTTTTATTGAGCTGATCTGATCCGAGTTAACTGACGTACGTTGCCAGTTAACTCAGATCCCGACCCAACTGCTATTGAAATTGGTGTTGCGGACGGCCGTGTGCTATATATCTTGCGTTAAACAAAATTTACACATTTGGGACTTGAATCCCCTATCCGCGATATCAAACGGACGATCAACTGTTTACTATATTGCACAGCTCCTCGTCTCAGGTTGATGTTTTGCCGTTCTTCGTCTTTCAGATCACAACACGGCGGAGATGGTTCCAAACGGCCGCCCCAAAGTCGAGGAGTTGATGGATGTCGACGAAGACAGTTCTTGCCGCAGCACGCCTGTCCGGCACAGCAAAGGGTGAGGGATGCTTTACGGTTGTGTGCGTGCGTGTATCTAAACACCATATATTTGTGTGTGTGGTTGTGTGCACTTTTTATATTATTAAAAAAAACTTGTCTATTCCAGGCGGGATAGTTTGCTGTCAAAACACGAGGAGGTATGTACCTTAGATCATTTCACTCACTACTCACTACTCAATACTCACCCCGTAAGATAGCTCATTTTTTTTCTTTTTTGTGTTTTTAAAGAAGCATTAGCCATATCCGTGGTATTTTTGTATTTAGTAACAGATCCGATGTTGAATTCGTAGTGTTGTTTGCTCCCAACTCGTATGTACTCTTTTCACCAAATCACTTTATGTATAGTAATAACAATGCTTAACAGTGCGGAGAAATTTTAACAAACGATACGAATTGATTCATCGAATATAAAAAAGAGCAAGAACAGACAAGCACGAGTATAAACCTGTGCGTATTAATGAAAATTTACACAAGCCCACCATATAGAATTATAGGTAGGACATTTATACATAAATGTTATTACGAACTCTACTGCAATATGTACAGTATCCTTCCTTGTGGAACGACCCAAAGTTACTAGTGCATTAAAGTTTTTTGTTCTCTATTTTATTCAGGGACCTTTATACGAATATTCATATGTAAGTCCCTTCGAACCTTATAACAAATATATTATTAACAAAAAGACTTATACTTTTATGTTATTTATTGTCAAGAAAGCTGAATCGTATAGACTTATAGAAAAGGAAAACGATATCTATATCATTTTAAACATCATCAATAACATTTCAATAATCTAATCGAGTATTCACTGGCTAATTTAAACTTCACATATTACTTCAATATTTATGATCGACATCGTCATACATTGCACAAGAATGACATTAAAGTTTGTATCGCATCACTGCGAAGCTCAAATTTAAATATCGAACTCGCTCGGCGTGACCCACGTGACACTTCCGCAGAGCGAGGAGGAGGATCGTGCGTCCCGCTCTAGCAGCGCGACGGCGGCGCGGCGCAGGCGGCGCAGCACCCACGACCTGCAGCGGACCGCGCTCAGGAACACGCCCGACGGACACGGTGAGATATCACCCCGCCGCGTCTACTGCCGTTTCGTACCGGCTCAGGGGCGGGGCAATATATTTGGAGATGGGCACGAATGGCCAGGTCCGTTCGGGTAAGTGCCACTACCTCACAGTAGACCGGCGTGAAGTAGAAGCATTACGCTTCTGCGTTTCGTCTGGTGAGTTAGCCGGAGTCCACTTTATAAAAAGGTGGCAACGCATCTGAAATCCTACGGGTGTTGCAAATATCTATGGGCGGCAGTTATCACTTAAGTTTAGGTGAACTGCCAGCTCTCACATAAAAAAAAGAAAGAAACAGGAGTTTTACGCGATGCGCGCAAAATTCTCTTTTATTGATATAGATATTGACGGGCAAATAACTTGAGCTTATAGCGGCATAGTGGGTAAAAAGATTGCGTCGTGTCAACTGTCTTGCAAAAATCACGTTGGCTTAACGTTGAGAACAATTCGACTACTGTGAAATCGAATGCATTTTTCAAGATGTTTGCCGGTTAGTGACTGATAAATGGTTACGACCTAAGAATAGCAGAATAATGTTCCCTCCCCGATGCGGGAGGTATTTTTAAAGAAAAACAAAAGGCCAAATATGAACTCTTATCTTATTATATGACAATAATAGAACCAATATAGTCCATTCCAAGTAATATGACCAGTTATTTTTCTTTCACGTTTTTACAGTTTTTTTTTTACTTTTTTCTTTCCCATACTCTATTTTATGTGTATTAAATATTTTACTTATTTTCATCATAATTCCTATTGCTTTAATTTAAAACCGTGCCCAATACCCACAGATCTAATGCGCAGCAAGTTGAGAGATGAATCGAAGTGCAGCACGTCGAATGAATGCAGCGTCAATAGGTATGTTAGATAAAAATGTTGTTGTCCATTGGATGCAAAAATCAGATAATTGCGCCGCAATTCGACATAACTGTCACTGTTGATAGTGAGCTCCTTAAAATAATGTAATGAACGTACAAATTCAATTATTTTTACATAGACTTAAGTCTGGCTGTCGGGCATACACATCTATTCAATATAAATAGTTTTTTTTTTTATGTGAAAAGTTGCCAAACGAGCAGATGGTACACCTAATGTTAAGTGAATACCGCCGCCCATAGATATCTGCTACACCCGAGGGTTTGCAGATACGTTGACAACCTTTTTGGAAATTGGGCTCTGGCTACCTCACTCACCAGAAGAAACGCCAAAATATTTGTCATACTTCCACTTTACGCCGGTCTTCTGTGAGATCGTGGTACTTACCTGGATGAGCCTGCACATTCGAGCCTGCCCATTCGTGCAACAGCCGCGGCTGTTGCGTAGCTTTACCATCGTGAATTAAACTAATAGAGACGAATAGTAAACTAATAGAAAATAATACATGTCTGTTGTGATGAGGAAAGCGTAATGTTATATATATTTTTTTTTGTTTATTTTAAACTTCCAGTGCTGTCAACGAGCTGCAAGATCGCTTGTCTTGCTGCCAGCAAGAACTGGAGGATCTCAAGGAGAGATACAAGGAGTTGGACGAGGAGTGCGAAACATGCGCGGAGTACTTGCGGGAAAGGGACGAACAATGCGCAAGGTTGAAAAAGGAGAAAGTCACTTTAGAGGTGATTGTAGAACAAGTTAACTGGCAAACTTGCGACCACAGTCATCTAAGTACACTTCATTTAATATTCAATTACATGATTATCACGTGCCAGCGGTGAAGGAAAACATTGTGAGAAAACCTTCATATTTTCGAAATAATAAAAAAAATATTTCCAAGATATGTGAACTCCGCCAATCAGTAGTGAGGTCGACTATACCCTGATACCCTCTGTACAGAGGAGGCCTTTGCCCAGCAGTGGGACATGTACAGGTTGATACTTGATCAGCCTGGCATGTTGTGATCTCTCAAGTAATAAAGTACTGGACGTGTTGCCCATTAGGTTAAGTGTGGCATGAAAGAATTATGATTTTTCTATGCCATTGTTTAACAAACCCATAGTAAAAATGTCATTTAGATCACTCTGGTTCTAGCGTCGTCAACTGTAACAATGCCCCTAGTCCCAAACAAAGACAACTGATAAACATACTATTCTTTTGTAAATAAATACTTATTATAAATATGTAAACACCCAGACACTGGGAAATCATTATGTTCATCACACAATATTTTTCCAGTTGTGGGCATCGAACCTACACCCTCTGGCGCAAGAGGCAGGGTCGATCGGGTTGTCGTACTTGTTGTAAAAAAATCGCTTTTTTGTTCGCAGAAAATTATAATGGAGTTAAATGAAAAAGTCCAGAACAATTCTAGTCGGAATATTTCAAGAGCTGACTTTGCACACGCGGCCGTAAATACGGATGAAGGTACATTTCAAATTATTACCTTTATTTCTTTATTTCACACACTCGATGTCGAAAGAAAAGCGTCATAAACCTGCATGTGTCAACAATGAAGACGATAAAGTGTATTTAAGAGACATTTACAAATAATTATTAATGTGCAGTAGAATTGGTTGGACACATACTGAGGACATAAGATCATCAAATATACTATGTCCTTAGTACATACTTTCCTGAATTTAGTTTTAAAGTGTATATTTATTATTCTGAAAAATGATATTTATTTCTAATATTACATTTCGAACTTTTTTGTAATAACTTTGCTTTCATTTAGGAAAAGAGTCGCTTATGTTTATTATTTATTACATAAAACTCATCTATATCTGATTTCCTGATTACAGATTGGGCTAACCTCCATTCTGTCGTCGTGGATAGAATGTCATTCGACGCCGAAGTCGAGAAGAATAAAAGATTGACAAGGACAATAGAGGAATTACGCTTCAACAAGCAAGAGCTAAAGATTGTCGTGACGAAAATGCAAAAAGCATTGGAAGAGAAAACATCAAAGGAAGCTAAGGAATTGGAGAGAACTAGATTGGAATTGCACTCCTGTAGAGAAGAATTAGAAGATGTAAAGAGGAGAAATAAAGAACTTGATGAAGAATGTGAGACTTGTGCGCAGTATTTGAGAGAAAGGGATGAGCAATGTAGGAGGCTGAAAGAAACTATGGCAGCACTAGAGGTAAGCTTCTGTATTTATAGTAGTTTTTCAAAGTCTATTGTACTTCTACTATGAAGTATTATACTGTGTTTATAGTAACTATATTCATAGTAACTTCATTTCATATTTATCTAAATCTTGTTAAGTAGCGAATCCTTTTGGCATAGTGCTGAATTCTAGTTTTATAAAGTAGCTTTAATTGCCTTATTCCTCTTTCTTTTTTACTTACTATAAAGTCAAATATAAAGTGTAAAAAAGTCATTTGTATTATATTATAGATAATTCAACAACTGTAATACAACCAGTTAACAAAATCACTGCCTCAATTTAACAGAAGAAGACACTAATGCGGCTGCAATCTCTCTGGCGATGATAATTTACGATCAGGTGCACATTCGCCTACAATAGCATAAGATGACATGATATTTGAAGATGACATGACATTTAAATGGAAGGTCCATTTGTCAATTTCAGAAGGACAAATATATTTTTTTGTGTGAGAGAGTTGCAAATGAGCTGGCGGTTCACTTAATGTTAAGTGATATTCGCCGTAGAGTTGTTGATGCGTTGCTCATGCGCTGCCCCCGTGTAATAAAGTGGGCCCCGCCTAACTAACTCACTAGACGAAACGCAGAACTGTAACACTTTCACTTCACGCCGGTCTTCTGTAGGGTTGTTGTACTTACCCGAACAGACCTGCCCATTCATGCAACAGCGAACATTGTTGCGTGGCCCTGCCACGGTTCAATATAAAAATTGTCTTGACTTGTCAAAAGTAATCAATCAATGTCCGTTCCAGGCGAAGCTGCAGGAATCGCAAGAGGGCGTCGGCCACGTGTCGCTCTCCATGCGAAAGAAACGACAAACTCTTTACGACCTCAACCGCCGCCCGGCAAACGATCAAGTGGACGCCTCTACAGAGATCAGCGAAGGTACTGTTGGGTTTAATGCAAATGTATTTATTCAGAACTTCTGTATTGAATATACATATTATTATTTTCTACAATAGAAGCATTAGACTTATTGATTGTCAAAATACTACTACATTTTGGGAAAAGAAACTGCGGTGACTGACCTGAGAATAACCGGCGAAAAAATTCAGTGCGACGACTTTTTTTTTACATTTCTTGTGCGATCAAATATGATATGGTCGCTGCCAATGTTGTAGTAAAAACACTCGTTCAGTTGAGTGTCGTTGCGAACTTGGAATGCTACCACAGGCAGGCCGACGACTGCTCCAGGGCAGTTCGATGACCTCTAAAAATCGGGTAAAAGGAGATAACACGAAAACGAAATTAACGTTTGTATGCTTTAACTTTGATGAAAAGTAAAGGACAATCAAAATTTAAACACACGAGATTACCTTATACACAGTACCTAAGTTTTGGCTAGCTAAACTCTATTCCATGGAAACATTATACTGTCTAAATGATATAAGAATTGGCATATAAGTAATAATATTTGTGTCGACCTATATTTTGTTTTGTATTTTCGAAATGAGAAAATTTCAAACATACATTATTTACGTATTTTCTTTTTTACAACAAACAATGTTAACCAACAGTGCAGGTTATTTTGTAAAAAAATAATTAAATTTTGTCTCTTTCAAATTTACATATTGACTACCCATAAAAACAATAGTTTTAAAAAAAAATATTTTCTTACAGATTTGCTCAGCCGTCAGGTAGAAAGGGATAACGGTCAGTCGGTTGCCGATGACATGCAAACAAAGCTTATTAAGAAACTCAAGGCGGTTAGTTTTTTGAAAGTTTTGTAAAATCTTAACTCAGTCTATAATAAAAACCCAACAATTAAAATTCTAAATGTAATTAAAAAAAATATTTCTCCATAACCTAGTTAATCAAATTTAGCTTATTTAAGTAAAATGTATTTACTTATAACTTGTCCTGGCCAGCCGCTGTAATCATTGATTTAATCTAATGTTATATACACAGGCGATAGAGAATTTAACCGAGCAGAAAGCCACCCTGGAACAACAGCTGATGGCCACGGCAACAGCCCCCGTCTACGTGGCAACGGGGAGCGCTATTGTCCAAGTATACTATCTCCACAAATACTAAACATTTTTACTTTGGATCATGATACTATTTATTAATTATATATAAACTTAATTCCCAATTGGTCTTAACAAACCATTACATCTTTACAAAAGGTATCATCATATTTCCTGTGTTCCAAATTATATAAAATTGATTAGATAAAACAAGTTTCCGAAACAATCTAAATATTATATTATACACATTATAATACTTAACTGATGTTGTTTTAGCATATATCTTTTTATAGTTAAATTAAATTGTGTGAGAGATTTTTTCGTTAAATATATTTTACATTATTTAAAATGCACCATTTAAAAAATATAATTTTTTTGGGAATGTAAAATAAAGATTATGCACTCATTGAACAAACGCGGTGATTGGAGGGGAGTGAAAGCGACCAAAGTATACGTTATGTAGCTTTTTTCTACGCAAAAATCGGTTATTTGTTATAAGGGTTGAAAAATTTTAATTGAATTTCTTAATAAGGTATAACTGTGGTAGGGCCCCGCAGCAGCCTCGGCTGTTGCACGAATGGGCAGGCTCTTCCGGGTAAGTACCACAACCTCACAGAAGACCGGCGTAAAGTGGAAGTGTAACAAATACTTTCGCGTTTCGTCTGGTGAATGAGATAGCCGGAGCCCAATCTTCAAAAAGTTGTCAACGCATCTGTTACCCTCGGGTGTAGCAGATGTTCATGGGCGGCGGTATTTACTTAGCATCAGGTGAATCTCCTGCTCGCTTTGCTACTTATAAAAATGACGATCCCTATAGTTCAAAAGGTCCAAATGTTGTCCAAATGTCCAATTATTAAATCCCTCACTTATACACAGCTCTGATGCAAAGTAAATCTTAGAATACTGCTACTGCTGTGAAATCTTAATACATCCATAAATTAATCAATGACATTCAATTTTTCAGAATCAGCAGCTCACGGATGTCATGAAGGAGAACCGAAAACTGAAGAAAATGAATGCTGAACTGATAACTCTATGCAAGAAGCGTGGCAAAGCCATGATCAAATCAAACCGAGAGAACCAAGACCCCACAGAAGAGATCTGAATACGATTGTTTATACTGACACTTAATTAACCTGCACATACTCAAATTTTGTGTAAAAATGTAAAGCTGGACTTTAAGTTTTTGGTAAGCTTTTGTAAAATTAAAAAAAAAAACAAATTTTTGACACTTATTATGGATAAGACAATTATAATGCTTCTAGCACAAATTTATGGTGCATATAACAAAGACCAGTGATTGTATTAAGACTGAATATGATTCTTAATAGACATTCCTGAAAGCATTTTTAATTTATGTATACATTTTAAAAGTTTGCCCAATTAAAATCTCAGTGATTGTTGGTGCCATTGCATTTAATAATTAGGTAAAGGGAAGTTTTCCACAATAACTTTGGCTATTGATTACAATTTTCAGTACAGAGTATTATGTTGTAGTACTTAATGGTAGTCGATGTTGTAAAATTATTTCTAATATATAATGCTTGTTATAGTATTTATTGTATAAATATATATATTACATTGTAATAAATGGAGCACAAAATGCCGGCCACAAACTATATAATTAAACAGCATGCATAACACAAGCCTAAATTCTGACTCTTCCTATAATATGTATATATCTAAGTCTTGTAAATGTTAAATAATGTTTTCGGTATTAAAATAAATGTGATTAAGATGTGATTTATTTGACTTAATTCTAAATATGAATGTGTCTGTTTTTAAACATTAAAACTAATGATTAGTTGGCTAGTTTTCTTTCACTTGATGATCTTTACCTTTTAAATACAGAATGTTGACAACCGTTGAATAAAAACAGTAAAGACATGTCAATTGCTTTGAAAATATGCTTAAAATGTAAAAATCGGGTAAATCGTTCCATTATGGAACGCATGAAATTATTATTGATAAAATGCAATAGCCGTTCTCCTTTATGGAGCTATTAGCATTAGCAGCATCTAACCACTCGACTCCAAAGCGCCGCCGACCGCCTCGGCGATTGGTTCCGCAAATGGAGAATAGAAATAAATCCCGAAAAGAGTGTGGCGATTCACTTCACACGAAGTACTTACCCGTCACATCTTTATAACGGTCCTGGCCAATGCAGAAAGTTGGGGCAAATATCCCTTTATGGCCAACCGCTCCCCTGGGAGAAAAAGGTCAAATACTTAGGAGTCACTTTCGACTCGCGTATGTCATTTACTACGCACATTAATAACGTTCGTAATAGAGCCGCGTTCGTCTCCGGCCGGCTACACAATTTAACTAACGCTAAAAGTAAAATGCCCTTAAGGCACAAATTATTATTATTTAAGACGTGCGTACGACCTATTATGTCCTACGCATGCATGATCTTCGCCCACACGCACCCTACTCACTTGTACAAGCTGCAAATAGTACAAAATAAGTTCATACGCCGTGCAACCGGTGCGCAGTGGTATCAACGCAACGTCGATCTTCACAGCGATTGCAGACTCCCGACGATTCGCGAATATTTTAAAGACCTGACCAAACGGTTCTTCGATAGAGCCGAACATCATCCCAACCCTCTGGTGGTAAGCGCAGCAAATTAGCGCAGCGCGAGCGTCAACAAGCGTCGCCCGCGAAACGTCCTCATCGACCCGGTCGAGGAAGGGGACTTAGATACGCCGGACCCACCGCCGGGGGTTCCGCCGGATAACACTACACCCACAGCTAGTGTAACAACAAACACACAATAGTTCGCCCTCGCCTCCGAGCACGGCGAGACCAACACAATGCGTACACAAGGTACACCCCGCGTTCCAGGGCGGTTCTCACCGCCCCCAGCCACCGATTAGCTAAAAACACAGTCGACGGCCATCGGGGTCTCGGTCCGCACCGCAACTTCGATGGCCCTTAGATGACATTTCGTAGTTAAACGCACGCATGAGCACATGCGCGGCCCTACCCACAGCGGAGGGCCCAAACCCGTGGGTTCTGGCTAGCCCACCGGTTCTGCGTCAGATGAAGCTTTAATAGTCTCGGGACTGAAAGCAAAAACATCAGTTAATACAAGATACAAGAAGATTAGCAGCATGCTTTCTATATTTGACCCTTCGGTTAGAACTACAACAAATGAAAGAATATAGCTAGCAATAAACTAGGTAATTCATTTAAAAGGTCTTACTGATTGAAAAAGATACCTCACTTAACCAGTATGTAGCTACTATACTGTATCATATTCTCTCTAATAAACATATCCATATATGTTTATTTAAGACGAATTTTAATTTCATTTGAAATATTTTAACTAAATAAACTTTTAGATGTATAAGACATACAAATATGAAGTGAACAAAAAGCTAATTTTACAAACCTCTTACTTTACTTTTGTACATCAACTTCTTAAACTAGGGGCCTCATTCAGCCCACCACTGATCTATATTTTCTGTTTAGGACCCATTGTCCAAAAAAAAGATATGTCAAGTATTAATATATACAATAAATATTTCACATCTACAGACTGTGCAGAATTTGAATAAATTAATTTTATTAATTTATATTTTTGAAAATAAATATAAATTTATTTAATAAAAAATATTGATATATCGATTGTATCGGCATACCTAGTTCCTTTTTAAGCCTACTTTATACTTTATTCACGAACTCGGTACCGTATCTTCGAGCAAACTTTTGCGTGTGTTTCCCAAACATACCTGAAGAAACTAGGATGTGACCGGCTCGATGACTACATTCGAGCCGGTCAATGACAGTTTAGACGACGAAAGTACGCCTATAATATCCTGTAATATCCGGTAATTCTGTTCTGTACCCCGACGGCCTGAAGCCACAAGCCCACCATTGCATTCAATGCAGCAGCTTCTACATAGGAGGTCAAACCTACAATTCTACATAGGTTCTTTAAAGCTTGTGGAAACTTAGCATTTTTCCAAGCGATGCTTTCGATAAAGCGTTGTTTGACGATATTGTTTCCGGACTGAAAGCAAAAACATTATTTGACTAGTATAAGGAATAAAACCCACTCAAGCACAACACAGATTTATTACTAACTTTATGTGGTATCACAAAGATGCACCTTTTTAAGCTCTTGTTAAATGCAAGACTTGTATAACAATTAGGTGCAACTATTTTTATGAGACTTTTAAATTAAATACGAACAGTAAACACAAATCTAGGATTGTACAGACAAAATTAATTAACAACCAAACTACGCACGTTCTAGACATAAACATCCCTAAAAATGTGATATAACAATAAAAAAAGAACAAGTAACAATTTGGTACGAAAATTATAGATGTGATGTAAGGGCATATAATATTTAACATTAACGCCGTACCATTTAATATTTATTTTTCAACAATGAACTTATTGGTTTACGAAAATGGCAACAAACTTTTTGAAATAATATAAAAATAAAAGAAGTCTAGGTCGCTTTCCATGCATGCTGATTTGAATCCTATCCTATTTATTAAATATGCAAAAAAATAAAATGAAATGTGGACTACCATAACACTTAATTACCGTTTGGGCGTTCAAAACTGTCGAAACATGTATACATCATTACATACTGTATAATTATAAAACTCCCTTTTTTTACGGTTAGATAAATCATGACCACCAGGGAGAAATTTTGGTGCGTTAGAAATTTAAATTTATTTTAATACTTTTGACACTGGTACTACTACTGGTAGAATACCATCGAAGAATTATTATTAATATACAAGTAATACTTATTAAGTATATAAAAACCAATTTAAATTTAGGCCACGCAAAAGGTAATGTTGTTGCACGAATTGGTAGGCTCGGTCGGGAAAGTACCATGACTTCAAAGAAAACCGATTCATGCAGTGAGTTAAGTAATTGGGGCCCACTTTTTTTTAATACGTGTTGCGGCAATTACTTAAACATCAAGTGCCTGCTCGGTTGACAATTTCTCGCAAAGGAAATGTGTAAAAAGTTATACACATACATGCCATGGACATGTATAAGGAACTCGTAATTATGCGAACTCCAGCCAAAGTGATATCCTAAACATTAAGAAGTACTTACAAAAAACTTTATGATATAAATGGCCTATTAAGGTCAAGCTTAACTTCATAACTCAACTTTATGATTACATAATAAGATATTAATGTATGATTAAACCTTAAGGTTACGTTATATCATTGTCTGTTTTACGGTATAACTAATGGTTATAGGTTACTATTTTTTATCCCTTTGAAGTTTTGAGTAATATAAGGTAGTGTATAAGTTTGAAATTATTCTAAGCCAAAGCTTAAGGACTTATACTGTACATAACTAAATTATATAACTAATGAGTAAAGAAATAAACACATAGATATAAAAAATGAGATAAAAATGCTTTCCATACGAAAGTATTTTAATAGTAACAAAAAAGAACTAGCTTTCTTAAACAGTCTTTGAAATGTTACTGATTTTTAAACATTAACAGGTAACTTGGTTACTTCTTAATAGTACATTCCTTAAACAATCAAAGGTTAAATGCCCAAAAATCATTCTTCAGTTTTAACATCACCCGCTAATAAGGATGATTCCTCTACATTTTCCGTATTTTTTAACAACAACTCCATTCTGGTAGGTAAATCTTCCAAAAGATCCTCAGTCTCTGTAATTGGTTCCTTTGGCTTTATGTTCGATTTCCTCTCCTCAATGTGCTCGGCGAAGATGTTGTGACCCGCCACTTTCGCTATTTCTGCCGCCACACACAGACATTCAGGTTTGTTTGATTTGCCCAATATGGTTGCAGCTTCGGACAAATCTCCAAGAGCAAGATAACTGTAATAACAAATGTAGTCCATAAATGTTATTTTTCCTATTTATTTACTAACTACTTTAATATTACATTAAGATTATTCTGCGCAATCCTAAAAAAAATTCGGCTCCGTCATGTCCCCATACTAGGCCATTCCAGTCCTGTGCAAAGAGGTAGTTGGCTCACAAGTGAATGTGCCATCTTTTGTTTTAAGTACTGATTATCTAATTTTAAAATTCTAATCGTATTTTCTTCAACAAAGAAATAGGCGTGAAAGCAAAATAAGA